AGAGCTTCCATATTCGGATTATTTGACGAAGAGTTCTCATTCTGATTAGCATTTTTCTGAATGACCATTTTAGAATGCAAATTGTTTTAATGTTTCATTGGCTCTTTTAAATACATTTACTACACAACTTGAAAGATACGCCAAATTATAGTTGTAGTAGCGATACTAAATTCATATTATTATTTTCTATGTGTACATATTTAACTTAGTACCCATAAGCACTTTATTTTCTAATTATACTCAACATTAGATACATTAATATAAGGTTATGCTTAAAAATCAACGGTTTTAACAAAGTCAAATAATTTGGATATACCGATTTATAGGAAATACTTAATGAGTTAAAAAAAAAATCAACCACAGACTACAATACTCAGATGATTATTAGAACATCAGACACGCAGAGTATAATAATACGTCAAAGCAAGACTCTCGGCTCTCACACTCGACTAGAAGCTACCTACACTCGTTATCTTGCGTACTCTTAATCCGCCAAAACGAATTTGGAGCGATGCTTGATTCTAAGATGTTTCAAAACGAACGTTTAAAATAGATGCCAAAGAACTTTCTAACGAACGAAGAAAAGATTACGCAAATCACGTTATAGAACTGAATGATTCCATAGAGGACAACAGTGACGTACATAATAAAAATTGAGAATAAAAAGACAGAATTTTACAATGAACAGTGCTGAGTGGACGGTAATTTCGAGAAGACGTTGAGAGAGGTTATCAAATTTTTATAATGATTAATCAATGTATTCTTCGAAAGGTTCTTTGAAAATTAGCGCCCCTAAGAGGGACAGCGATTTTTATTTATTATTTTTATATTTGGGGCTAAGGTATTATATCTTTACTGTCGTAGGTGTACAAATTCTCTCCATGGTGATATTTCCCATTTATCAAAATTTAAAGTTAGACCTATTGAAAGTACAACATCTGCGTTACCTCCTAGCGTACTATCATGAAGATACCAGACTATATAATGAAATTTTGTATAGAAAGATGTACTGCAACTTGGATTGCATGTCGCGGTGCGTGTAACTTAGCAGACATCGGTCATTGGTATAATCCAAATCTTCCAAGATGTTTGTTAATCCCCACTCTCTTCCCCGGTGCTTGTTCTAATGTATGCGATGCAAAATCCCGTCGAAAAAAAACAGGAAAAATAGTGGTGAGAGTAAACAGTCTCGTCGTACTACTCGCGTGCACTTGAATATCGTCTGAGACGAGGCCATCATGAGTCACAAGAATACAAGAATAGTTCCTGTAGCTAGCCTTTACTAGGTTGATTATCTTTGGCTGGACACCAATGTTAGAGAGTCACGACCATATGCTGCTCCATCTCAGCGTATTGAAAACTTTTTCGAAGTCAATAAAGGTAAGATAAATCTCCCTCTGCCATTCTGATTCTGTTCGAGAATGATAAGGGAAGAGTATTAATTTGCACGGTATATGAGCGATAAGGCCGGAAGCTAGCTTGTTCTATGCGAAGGAGAGGCTCAATGGCTCCAGACAACCTGTCCACCATAATTCTGCAGAAAACCTTAGAAGGGGCCGAGAGCAAGGTCCTCTTCATTTGCTGCATTGGCTTAGATCACTTTTTTTGGGCACAGTTATAAAAAGCCCCCTGTTCTATTCCTCCGGAAGCTTCTCGCTGATTCATATTTTGTCAATCAAAGGTGTCAGCGTGTCGACTGTGGTAGCCAAATCCGCCTTAAACATTTCTGCAGTAATTAAGTCAACACCTGGTGCTTTAATAATCTGAAGAGCCATGACTGCCCTCACTACTTCATCACATGTAGGTGGTTCGTCATTGATGTCAAGTGGCCTGAGAGGTGGAGATGTGTCTTGTGGGGCACCAGACGAGGACAATACTGAGGGACGAAAAGTTTCGTCAAAGTGCTCACGCCAGCGTCGTAGTTGTCCTTCTGAAGTTACGACAAGCATACCGTCTTTCGATTTTAGGGGCTTCTTACGCTGTCTACTCTTTTCTGCCAAGATTGTAGCCACTTTATATACCTCTCTCACGTTGCCGGTGTTAGCAGCAAGTTGAGCGTGGTCAGCAATACCCACAACTTTCTGTCATTGCGTGAGCTGCGATAGATTTTCTTACGAATCTGCTGACACTGCTGCCTGATGTCGGCTTTAAGTAGCTCGTCGTTGGTTCCTAGCAGTTTCAGGTGGAGTTCCCTACGGTCGCTTATTAGCTGCCAAGTGGATTGTGACATCCAGTTCTCGTGCGAGTGCTTAGTGTGATCTAACACGATAGAGCTGGTCTCTATGTAGACCACTTTGATGCGTTTCCACTCTTTGTCTATTGAGTCATCGTAAGCAAGAAGTCCGTTGAAGCGGTTACGAAGATCAAGCCTGTAGGTAAAATATTTTTTTTACTACAACATTGTGAAATAAAAACAAAAATAACACCAAATTAAAAATAAAGATAGCTCAAACACTTCATCCATTTTTTCTGACAAAATGAATTATTAAATATTATCTCGATGTAGCGCTATTTTATTTATCGTAACAGTGCTAATCTTTCTCCTACAAGTTTGGCCATATTTGAGATTTACGTAACCCAAGCTGATAATTACTTCGTGCGATACTAGCGCTAAAACGGAACATTTGGAAAACAAGCGGTCCTAAGCCTGACAGGTACTTTTCCTGTTTTGTGTTGAATTAATTCTCATCACTATTTGAATCGAGAGTGGGGTTGGCCGCTGGAGTCTGAGTATATTGTGTGAACTGTGAATTTTTACTTGCCTACTTAAGTGGTGTAGACGTGGATTCATTGTAAAGCCATTAATAACTCAATGTAAGTATATTTCTAGTTTCCCTGCAATTAGACAGCTCTTTTTTATCTCCGTTGTTCTAAATTTAGAATTATTTTCCATTACTACTGTATTCGCAAGATGTTAAAGAATATCACTCAATTGATATTTTTTCTTTAGATCTGATCTTTTCATTCTAATACAAATTTTAAATCCGAAATTGGCTATATTCATCGGAAATATATTCAATATATATAATATTATAATATTTTATAAACCTGGTCTCTATGTATGTATTTTTGGTATATATATACCTATGTCTAAACAAATATTTAAAATTACACCTACAATGTTTGCATTAGGATTAAAAATATAATTAACAAATATGTCCAAAAAGATACAATATTCGATATAGAGTTTCTGAACTTTGTACTTTGAAACACGATTTTTTTTTTCAACATTTTACTTCCTCATAAGGTCTAATAAATAGTGATGTATTTCAGTACATAGATAGTTTTAAGTATAAATAATAGAAACTGTTTCAGTAATAGGTATCAATATTCTTATATATATAGTATATTATAGTAAACAATAACTCCTGCATAGAAAGAAGAAATATGTTTTTATATTAAAAAGGGTAGTCATAAAAATATGTCTTTATTTTATCAAGTAAAGCATTATTATAATTCTTTACTTACTAACTCTACTATATACATTTTTAATTAACTTTGTACCTACCATACTTTGACGATATTATATCTAAAGGTATTTTTGTATGATAAGTACATGATAAAAGTGTAAATGTAAAATGATAAAATCAACAAATCAAGGTTACTACACCTTATCATATTTTGTAGAATGTGAAACTCATTGAACCTTCACCCCAGTTACATTTGGGTAATAAAACAAAAAAATATATTATGGTGATTTTATCATAATATAATAATTTATCTGTATAAGTATAATTTATTATTCCTTTACTTATAATTTCAGACTCATAAAAATGACAAAAATAAAGGCTGGACCTGTTGTTGATGTCCTTGGAGATGAGATGACAAGAATAATCTGGGATTTGATTAAAAATAAGCTGATTTTACCTTTCTTAGACATAGAATTACATACATATGATTTGGGAATGGAGTACCGTGATCAAACTGAAGACCAGGTGACTATTGATTGTGCTAATGCTATTAAAAAGTACAATGTTGGTATTAAGTGTGCTACCATCACACCAGATGAGAATAGAGTTGAAGAATTCAATTTAAAGAAAATGTGGAAGAGTCCCAATGGTACCATTCGTAACATTCTTGGTGGTACAGTGTTCAGAGAAGCTATTATTTGCAAGAATATCCCACGTCTTGTTACTGGTTGGGAAAAACCAATTATAATTGGACGTCATGCTCATGCTGATCAATATAAAGCCACTGATTTTGTAGTTCCTGGTGAAGGAAAGTTAGAGTTGGTGTTCACGCCTCCTTCTGGTGAACCAATCAAATATGTTGTTAATGAATTTAAGGGTGCAGGTGTAGCTCTCGGTATGTTTAACACAGATGCGTCAATTGTTGATTTCGCCCATTCTTCATTCAAATATGCACTTGGAAGGAAATATCCATTGTATTTGAGTACTAAGAACACAATTCTCAAGAAATATGATGGTCGCTTTAAAGACATTTTCCAAGAAATATATGAAAAGGATTATAAGTCTCAATTTGAAGGTGCAGGAATTTGGTATGAGCACAGACTCATTGATGACATGGTTGCATATGCTATGAAGTCTGAGGGTGGTTTTGTTTGGGCTTGTAAGAACTATGATGGGGATGTGCAATCAGATTCAGTTGCCCAAGGATATGGGTCTCTTGGTCTTATGACTTCAGTGCTTATTTGTCCTGATGGAAAGACCGTTGAAGCTGAGGCCGCTCATGGAACTGTTACACGACACTACCGCTTCTATCAACAAGGAAAGGAAACATCCACCAATCCTATTGCTTCCATTTTCGCGTGGACAAGAGGTCTACTGCATCGCGCCAAACTAGACGACAACGCTGAACTGAAAAACTTTGCTGAAGCACTCGAAAGTGTTTGCATCGACACCATTGAGTCTGGAATTATGACGAAGGATCTTGCTATTTGTATCAAAGGCATGAACAACGTGAAGAGGTCAGATTACTACGAAACATTTGAATTTATGGATAAGTTGGCAGAGAATTTAGCTAAAAGACTGGGAAAGTGA